TATTCCCAGCCGGTGGCCGTTACAGCGCCACAAAAGCGTTACGGGCAGCACAGGATGAAGGTGGACAGATCATTACGAGAAAGGTGCAGTTTCCAGCAGGGTATTTGCATCGCGCAAAGGGCTCCCACTACATACAGATCCCAGACTAAAGGAGACTACTGAGCACTCCGGCACGCCCAGACCAGAACAGAGCCAGCCATGTCATTGATGAGCTGGAGCGGTTTTACCGGGAACAGCAACGGCAGACCAGCAATGTCATCCAGGCCGGGGGAGCACGATGAAGCCAACCCATGGCTGCGGCGGACCAGATGGCCGGTGTACTTGACCAACATCGCACCCAATGATCTGGTCAACTGCGTGCAGCGGCCCGACGATGACACCACGTGCCCAGATGAACTGGCCGCGAGGGCCATCTGGGAGGCCATGGGGCAGGTTGCCCGTACCAGCCAGCGAGTCATCACACGGCTGGGCCACTTCGTCCGCATCGAGGCCATCCGCACAGAGCGACACCAGACCCGGCACACCCCGTTGCAGGCATACATGGACGAGGAGAGCATCGCCGAGCACGTGAGGCCATGGCAGCAGATGTTGATGTTTTTCGCCCGAACGCAGGTCGAGCATGAATGGACGAGCGCACAGTACCGGTTCACACCACGGCAGCGCAAGACATGGAGGGTATTATGGCAGGTAGCCAACCGCAGATGGTAGCCGACCTAGCCGACATCCACATCAGCCCCAGACCCCTATGTATGAGCAGATGCCTGAGGATGAATCAAGAGGAGGAGGAGGTGGAGGAGGAAGAGAGAAGAGACAGAGAGATACCCAGTCAGAAGAAGAAGATAAGTTCAAATTAGTCAAGATTCAGATGGCATGTTTGGATTTTTGCATTGAGCTGCTGAACCAGTGGGTTCAGATGGAGGATTATGAGTGCGCGCTGATAGACACGTTGGCGGTGCTGGGACGGGGGGAGTATGGATGGTGCGACGCGAAGAGCTACCCACCAATATTGTCACGGATCAAGAAGAAGATAAGTTCAAATTAACCAAGATGCAGATGGCATGTTTGGATTTTTGCATTGAGCTGCTGAACCAGCGGGTTCAGGTGGAGGATTATGAGTGCGCGCTGGTAGACGCGTTGGCGGTGCTGGGACGGGGGGAGTATGGATGGTGCGACGCGGAGAGCTACCCACCAATGTTGTCACGGATCATCAAGGTGGCACGGTTCATGGTGGTGCACAAGGCGCTGCGACTGGACGCCAATGCATCCGACATGCTGGCCAGGAACCAAGCAAGCCAGATGGTGGGAGAGTGGGCCGTGGTGAACGCCATGAAGGAGGCGGATTACACGTTCACAGGCAATCAGAATGAAGGGTAATCAGTGAAGACATCAGAGGCATCCCATCAACAATCAGACAGACATTCCACAAACAGAATGTCCATCAAGGCCGGTTCATCATCACACATCAGCAGCGAG